TTATCTAACCTGCTGCCAGACCTCAATCCGTCAAACTGAAGGTACATTCCTTTTCATGGCTCGCGATCTGAAAGTAGCACATTGAGCAAATGGAGGACATGTAGATAAAGCAAAAACGAATACGACTGGAGGAAAAAACGACAAGAGCAGATCTCAACGAAGCGGACAGTTCCGAAGTAACGGATAGGAACGAGGTGCAATGTGCAGTGTGGCGTGTGTGAGGCTGACTGTGTCAGGCCAACAATTTTGGCCTCTTATCGATGTAGGTCAGATCAGTACTGATTGCAGGGCAGTTCGGGGTCACCTGTCTCAGGCGTTTCTGTCTTTCCCATGTCCAAACCCACACATCTCGGATGATATGTTCGTTTTGTTGTTTTTTATTATGTGTTTTTATTATGTTTTGTGAGCTTGTGCTCCTGCTGCCCGTTTACCTATTCCCCGACCAGAACCTGTCTGTGGGAGTACGACGGCACATTAATGTCAGGTCTCCCAGTGATAACCACTACGAATAATTCTTCAATGTGCTGCCGTATGGGTCAAGACCGTATTTGCTCAATAAAAGAGCGAGACTCAGAAGCAGGGTCGGCCATCCGCTCACACTTTTCTATAGAGGGTGTCGCGTTTATGATTTTGAAAGGGGGTCGTATTTGGGGTTGAGCAAAATTAGCCATGTTCGGTAAAATGTGGATTGGTGGTTGTATTTGTGGAAGTTTAAGGGATGGCGGAGCAGGAGAGGTGGGCTGTTTTGATGGGGTTCTCCACGGCTTCGCGAAAACTCCATGAAAGAAGCGTGATCTGGATGACATTGGAGAGATTTGCTGCTCCATCAGAGAACTGACCTTCTGCTCGATGGGAGCTACAAGACTGGTCTTTGCATCTATAGTATGTGATTCTGCGACGATGGCGACGGTGGTGGTCGGTGTAGGGCGTAAGGGGTAGGATTCGTTAATGGGGTAGCCTTCTCAGGCTGATGGTTGGATCAGAAGTCCTATCGAGACTCCCCTAAGCCGGAGGGGTCGCAAAATTTCTGGAAAGGTGCGACGGTCAACCCTGCCCAAAACCCCTGCCATTGCCTACCATCACATCCATTTTCAGTGAGTACGAATTATGGGTTGCTCTATGAATAGTAAAAAGTGGTTTTTGCCAATGTGATTATTATGCCACCTGGGATTGACCATGGACTCCTTTAGGAACCGAAGAGGCCTGTTGATGCATGTCAGCATGTTAATCGGTAAATATTTGTATGCTTCCCTCATTGGGCATTGACCTCGTCCTATAAATGGGATGGAAGACCCTGCGAAATTATCGGATGTTACCGTAAGCGGTCACAGGTGCGGAGCACCGCTTCCCCTGGCTGAATTGTTCGCCGTTGATAGGAGATACACGCTAATCATGCATAGGATAATAGCTTGACCAGTCATTGGTTTTTTTTTTATTTTTATCTTGCATCTTTAGGGAATCGAGTGGCGCTCGGCTCGTAGTGGAGGTGGTGCAGTTGGTAGCGCTACGCGGTCGAAAGTTCAAGGTTAGGGTGCTATTTCCGTGGACGATACTTCAAGCATACTCTGTAAAGAATCGCAGAAATGGCTCTAATATCAGCGCGAGCGAAGTTGATAGGCTGGTTGATGAAAAGCACCGTCACATACACATGTCTGTAGTTGCAAAATGATCACTGATAGAGTTAGGACAATCAGGGATTGGCAAGTGAATGTAGGTAATCGACCAAAAAAAAAAACTGGTGCATTGGGACTAAACGCGGGATCACTATCTGAGAAGTCCCCAGAGGCCACTGATCGCTAGGAATCTCATCGCCTCTTGCTTCTCAAGATTGGAAAGCCCATACACCGTCAAGAGAGCTACCGCGATTGCCAGAAGCCCAAACTGCGTTGAAAAACGGTACAGCAACATCGTCATTAGCGATCTTCTGTTCATTAATTTAACTATTATCCATGGGGCGGAAGTGGTGCAGTGACAAGTGGCGCGCTCACCACGCGAGCGGTCCGGGATCAAATCCTGGGTCGTGAGTCGCCCGGGCCAACCAAGCCTTCCATCCCTCCGGGGTCGGTTAATTGGTACCAGACTTGTCTGGGAGGATAAAAAACACTGACTTGAACATCGGCTGGCCCCCGCAAGTCATTGTATAGGCCACATCGCATTCAAACGCCACTGCGAATGTACAAATGGAAGTAGAATGCGTGCCGCATCCCAAAAAGGGATTGATCAACGGCAAATGCTTTATCCTTTTTATCCTTATCCCATCCTCTCCCCATGTGTCTTGTTACCTCCACACACCAATTTTTTTCCAATCAGTTAGGCTAGTATGAGCTTGTTAGCCGCTGTTACTCGTGTTTGTTGATATTTACTTTTATGCTGATAGTCAAAACTCAAGAACTCACCACTTCTGCCGTTGCGGGTTCTGCCAGATGCTCGCTGCACTACGTTCGCAATTTTCTTTCTTACAATCTGTAGGCTGGCGTTCCTCACTCTATATCGTCCCTTTTCCAGTTCAGAAGTAGGGTCAACAGGTGGCATAGGTTTATCCTACTGTCACTTGGGTCTGGTTTTTACGCCCGAGGTACGTATTTAGCTTAAAGAGGCAACTACTTGGCCCGCCTCGGAATAGCTTCGGTTAGTTGCGTTGACCAGCTGACCCTACATTCCCGTTCCTTTCGCAGGTTTTTTTTTTCTTGACTAGTCGCTGCAAGGTAAAGGCTTGCTGTTGAGGTTGCTGAACTATGGACGTCTTGATGTCTCTTCTACTATTACAGTCAGTCAAGTGTAGCTTCTGGCTGCCTAGTTTAATGGCATTCTCGCTCTATTGTCGTTATACGTCAGAAGGCAAAGATTGTCTCTAGCCCACCTCCTAAGTTCTTTCCTTACCTTTACATCCTCTCTTACTCTTACATGCTTCTTTTTACGTGCTGCTTCGGGTCAGTGCACGGGTACTTGGTGCACGGCTATATGGCACTACTTTGTTCTGTCTGATTCTAGGACTGTTGTTTTCGCAGATGGCGCACATTGAGTGTGACAAATAAACAAATAAATAAATAAGCAAAATTATCTAGCCACTAATTGGAAGGCAAGAAAGCATCTCCAGGATGTGTCAAGCATGTCTAACCTGTCAAAATATGTGTATCGTCGTACATCCGACCTCACATCAACTTCTCGTGTTCACGCGCTAGGACTCTCTTTCTTCTTGACCAGTTGTTCAGTGTTCAGGAATGAAGCTGTGAAAGACATTGGGCGCTATCGCAATATGCGTGGGCATTTAAAACCTCGTAAAGCGTGTCTTTGGTTTTGTTAAAAACAGAACTAGGCCTTAGGCGGGTTGGAAAGACTTCAAGGTGCGTTATTTTTATTTTACCAGGAGCTCTTGCCCCTCCCACACCTAGTCCTGGAGGATGCCCCCGTATATTGCGATAACGCCAGACATTGTAATGAAGTAAAAGCAAATACGACCGGTCCCCTTAACGACATTTATGGAACAGAGAGAGAGGAGAGAAAAATGAGAACAGCTGCACTTGAAGGAATCCTTTACGGAAAAATCGTGATTCTATCTCACCCATAAATCACTGGCTTGAACCCATCGTCCACGATAAGAACGAAAAGAACAAAAAAATTGCATTTGTTTTGGTAAAAAATTCGAAAAACCGAAGGACTGCTACGCGTTCAAATTTCCGCCGGACATCTGTCACAAATGCTGGCGGCGGGAACGCTTCCACTTGGTTCATGGAGTGCTCTCGCTAGAAACTCTTTCTGACCTACTCACTTTTGCCTTTCCCATCTCACACTTCTACTGTATCCATATTCTATCGACTGTTTTGTCTCTATTCTCCGAAATCAAGCGTTTTGTAACGGATTCTTTTATTGCGTCGCCAAATACGTAGCCAGGCTCCAACCTACCTGGGTTAGGTAGAGTGTACCAAACCACGTCTCCTATTGCACAGTACGCGCTGCACTCGTCCACTGTTGACAGCTTTCCACCTCTGCCATCTTGGTACCTTTTGCCGGGTACCCAGAAGGAATGCGCCTTGCGTCCACGTATCAGGCGACGCATCGGAAGGATCGGGTTGAAGCGTGTCCTAGCGACAGCAGTCCGTGACCAAGTGACAAGACTTCCCGCCGCCAGCATTTGTGACAGATGTCCGGCGGGAATTTGAACGCGTAGCAGTCCTTCCGTTTTTCGAATTGTTTACCAAAACAAATGCAATTTTTTTTTGTTCTTTTCGTTCTTATCGTGAACAATGGGTCTCAAGCCAGTGATTTATGGCGAGTTAGAATCATGGTTTTTCCGGGAAGGATTCTTTCAAAAATGGTCGCGATTAGAACATCAGAGAAAAACAGAGAAAGAAAAAGAGAAATTTCCTCGAGTAAGGTAGCAAGACCCCCAAATCACACGGGTGATGGTGCTGACTCAACGAAAATGCACGACATGGGAGTTAATGGTTTTCCTTGACCGCCGCTGCTACCGAAGCACGTGGCGTCCGCGGCCTCTCGCACGCACAGCCCCCGCATTTTCCCTCTCCCTATAGCGCTGTTTCTCCGTCGTAGCATGGCTTACCTTACAAGGATCGAAGACAAACAAAAGGACTTTCGTCAGTGACGGAATAGAAATTCTAACATATTCACAACGGCGCACTTTTCCCACTTTCGGTCGCGTAGGACGTGAATGTTTCATATAAACTTCAACTAAATTAGAGGAAATTGCTACAAAATGTGTATTATACTTCGGGTACTCAGTTTGTAATGTAACACACTCAATTTTCTCAATTTTTGTTTCAATTACAGAACAACAATTTATACAGCGACAATTTCTCTATGAAGAATATGCTAGTAATCGTTTCCTCAGCTACGTAATAAAAACAATAAGTCTAATTAGCGCAAACAATTCTTCAGGCAAAGAAATAGGCCAAAAAGCAAGGCTCCACATGAATGAATAAAAAAGATCTGGAAGAGTATCATCCACAGCACAAAGCTATTACTCATTTATACTGTATTCACAAATCCCATGCAGTTTTGATTCGCCGCATTTCTTCCTTTCTCTTGCGTTCCTTTTCTAGCATTTTCTCTTGAACTGCGATTATTTTATCGCACATCACATCGAGTTCGATTTTGCCATCATTGTTCTCTGCATTCAGGGACACCAGCATTTGACGCTGTAAAAAAGCTATGTGGATCATTCGCCGAATTATTAGCATAAAACCTAAAGATCTACAATAGAAATAGGCTCAAATAAAAAATTGAAAGACCGAATAATTTTAAGGGTTTCAAACTACATTTCTGAGATTCGATCCCTTTAACTTTTTACCAAAATTTCACCGTCCTTCTTGGTATTGCCCTAATGGCTCCGGCATGGCAAAGTATGCTAAACAATATCGTTATGATTCCAACAAACCTGGGTCAATTTATGATTTTGTTGGCCGTGATGTATGTCATAAGCACACGAAGTGCGCTGCACAAAACGCGCCTGTGCAATCAGGGCTGGGGATTTCTGAGGAAATTTATGACTCAAACACAAAGGCTGTATTAGATTTCGTTCTTGATAAAACACTTCGAAAAGCAATTCTTCAGGTAACGGCTAATTTGAGGACTGGGCATCTTTCTTCCTGGCAGAGATAATTTGGCCAATGCCACTGCGGGTCGTGACAACACACAGGCTTTGTACGTAATAGATTATGTACCACTGTTACTGCAACCTGCACCTGTTACTCGGGCGTAACAGGCAGGTTGATGTCCCATCCAATGTGATGTGCTTTAGCACTTTGAGGACTTCCAGTAAATATCTTAACTTTTGAGCTCAGCATAACATATTGACATCAATCCGAACTTTCTTTTCACATTAGACATTTTTTCGTTCACATCACACCAACAAAGTGAATGCCTGGGTCCAGTCTTACGAAGATTCAGGGCTGGGTCGAAGCTCCTTTCGTCCATCGTCACTTCATTTGTTTGCAGAAGGACCACAAAAACAAGTCTAGTTATTCGAGTAACCATATTGTTTCTCTTTTTACCCGAAGTTCCATGTATTATTGAATAAAAGAGACATCATGAAATTCCAAAAATTTTCTCAAACTTACACTGATGGCAACTTCCTTCTACTGCTTGCAATGCTTTAGAGATTCCAGTCATAACGCTTGTTTTTATCAAAATTCAAAGATACCAATCACAATCGGCCTTTTGGATGATGAAACCCCTGATGGCCGGAGCCTGCTGCATGAAAAAGGGTCTCGTCCCGTACACATAAACGAGGAAAATGCGCTCGTCGTGATGGGTCAATCATACACATCAATCATAAGGTGAAGAGCATGCTCATGACAACTTATAATTTAGTTAGGTGTTTAAAAATTCAGAGATGGAACATCAAAAATATGCGTATTTCTCTCACAAGAAATGGTCACTTGGTCAGTCCGGCCATTTGCAATGAGATGTAGTCCGCTGGACGCGTCTTGCGACGCTGAGCTCAAATCCGTTTTCGGTATCTGCGGAACGATTCTCTGAAAGAAGTTACGAGGGATTCTTCTCACTGTGGCTTTCTCACTGTGGCCCTCTACATCCCCCGAGCCCCCATGATCAGTACAAGATCATCCCGAGAGCATTACTGTCGATTGATCGGGTCGAGTAATGAATAGCGCTCGCGCTCTTGATTCGTATGAGTGTGTTCCCGTGTTCGAATCCATGGGATCGCGATTATTTGCATTGTTCATGGCTGCACATACGAGTCCAGAAAGCTTATATTCGGTTGTTTTGTTGATTTGCATCCCCAGTTGGTGATGGCCTCTGGTGTAACGTCTCAACTTTCGATTCATTCTGAGAACATCAGATTCCCTCAGATCAGAAATATTGAGTGTTGGTAGATAGGTCCACTGCAAATAAAGACTTATGCCATTTTGCAGGCGTGATGGCAACGTTCATCTCGCAGGGAGCCTACTCATAGATTACGCCCTCAGAAGGGGCAAGCGAGTGTTGAGGAAAATTTTGAAGACGACCCTCTCCTAGTGGCCGGAGTCCATGAAACATGGAAAAGGCAGACTCTGGAATTTCCTTCTCGTGCTTCTTCTTTGATTTATTTTACTATGATGATTTTTCACACATAGAACAAAAGAAACAGGCTCATAAATATACGAAATTTTAATGACTTGTGATTGTCCCACAAATTGATCGAAACAAAACAGCTCTTCACAGAGTACACAGCGAAGAGAGACGGAGGGGTGTAGAGGGTGCCACAGTGAGAAAGCCACAGTGAGAAGAATCCCTCGTAACTTCTTTCAGAGAATCGTTCCGCAGATAACCGAAAACGGATTTGAGCTCAGCGTCGCAAGACGCGTGCATCGGACTACACCTCATTACAAATGGCCGGACTGACCAATTGACCATACCCCGTCACCAGTATTCCAGCACCGAAACCGCCATAGCAACATACCAACTCCTGTTCTGTTGCTTCTGGAATCCAGAACCGATCGTTGGCTTTTGCCCAGTTGGTGATGGCTTCTGGTGCAGCGTCTTGACCTTCGATTCGTTCTGAGAACATCAGATTCCCAATATTGAGTGTTGGTAGATAGGTTCCCCTGCAAATAAAGACCTATGCCATTTTGCAGGCGTGATGGCAACATTATTTGGCAACGTTATTTTCACAGGGAGCCTACTCATAGTACGCCCTCAGAAGGGTCAAGCGAGGCGTCGAGGAAAATTTTGGAAATACGACCCCCTCTCCCAGAGGCCGAAGTCCATGAAACGACCCTCTTCAAAAGCCAAACTATGAAAAGATTGTTCAATCCCCGCGAAACTTTTCCTAAAAAAAGTCCTCCTACCCCACTACCATAAATATGGTCCAAAGTAGAAAAAGTCAAGAAGAAATCATTGAGAATAATCCTACCAATGATTGGAGCGAAAAACGACTAGTTTACCGCGCATTTCAGGAGCGATTTTTTAACAAAATGGGAGACCTTTTTTTCTAACAAGTGTGAAATCGCTTAGCGAATTTCAACGTTTGCGATTATATTATGTCCATGTATTTGACGCTGAAGGCTGCTCTTGTTGAACAAAGGATCGATCCCTATAATTCCACACGGACCCTTCCAAGATGCTCTTGGTTTTACTGAATTGAGATCCTTTCACCAGAGAGCGTAGTTGAAGCGCACGCAAGTAACTGGGCCCTTTGGTGGACGCGCCGTGTGCTTCACATTCCTTCAGATTCGTGGACTCACTTGAAAGATAAAATATCCGTCGGAAAACGTGCGAATTTCGGATTCTTTAACCTTGTCGTAATAAATCACTGAAGTAGTAAGAATTACTACGCGGACACCTCTGAATCACGAAAATTTTATGTGGGCGGAATAACATTGTTATTGGAAATCCTCTGGCCTGGCATCGATTCGATCCTTGATGTTTGTCCTCCGACGATGATCCTACTGTATCAATCGGCCCGATCTCTTCCCCAGCGGGCCAATACGACCCCCCCCCCCTGTGACATGTCGAGGATTCCTCAACGCACGCTTGACCTTAGCCTCAGGTTTTTCTCAGGTCATATATGCAAGTGCGATCGGAATGTGCCCGAGGCTTTGAGAAGAGTGAGAATCTTGATCCTTACTGGAAAATTCTTGCATTTTTTCCTAACATGAATATGTCAGCTTGTGATCACTAGAGACAACATACAAAGTTTCACGCATGAAGATTCGTTTCCGAAGAGAAACAAACTTACGAAAACCACACTCTGTGGACGGTCGAGAGGTAAAGCGAGCGGAAACAAGGGAACGTATGAAAAAAGTGTAACAGGCGACACATTGAAACAATCTCGTGAAAGCGTTTGATTTCGGAGACTAGATAAAGCGATTGGTAGAATAGAATGTGAAAAAGAAAAATGGTTTTGCCACAGGTGGACAAAGCCAAAAAGAGTTCCTAGTGAAAGGCACTCCGAGAACCAAGTGGAATGTTCCATCGCCAACATTTGTGACAGATGTACGGCGGGAATTGAACACATGACAGTCCTTCGAGTTTTTGAATTATTTACGAAGTCCTTTCGTCTCAGTCAACCAGCTGAAATCGCGCACGAACTCAGATCGACTAGAATGCTTTCAAAAAGCTTGAGTAAATTTTTTGCAACCTGGCCGAACTCCTCGCAAAAAAAATTACTTGCGAGGCTAAACGACTCCACAAAGGAGGTGAATATGAAGGAACCATGATGGGTCAAAAAGATATGTGAAATGCGCAAAAACGAATGAGCCCGCCAGATAACGATGGATTCCATACGACTACGTGAACCGGAGGAGACAAGGACATCCCTACACTCGCTGGAGCGATGCTCTGACGAAGAAGATAGTACAGAACTAGTGGGGTATGAAAAATGAAAAATCCAGACGAGCCATGATACGGCATTCGAATATGAACTGACCCGTGGTAAAACTCATAAATTCATGAAGGCAATCATATCTTTCATCTCGCGAGATAAAGTAATGACTTGCCCGTGGACGATTCCTTTGAACCTCGCAGGTTGAAATGTTTACATAAAGGCGCAGGTGCATTTTTCAACGATGCTGGTAAAAAGTTAAGGAAGTGGGTCATAATTCCTGCTACACACTTTGACAAAACTTCCAATTTACTTTTGAGATGTGAATATTCTACGAATGGTAGTTCTTGGAAGAATTTCAACGAATGACGGGAAACTCCCTCACGACAAACATGAATCACACATTAAAGTGTGTAAGGTGAAAGTCTGAGTGACAGAAGGCGAAAGTGGTTCAAACTTTTAACTGCTTTCAGCACCTCTGCTTTAGTTTAGGCAAAATTCCACTTCAGGACTAAGTAATTGATATTTCTTATCAGCGAAGTTCAGTAGGTTGGCGCGACCATTTGAATTGAGGTATACACCATCATTACATTCGTCTTGGGACACTGAGCTCAGAACTGTTTCTCACATCCGCTAGTGATCTTCTGATCGGGTAGTGGTTCAGGCTCACGAGATTGTTGGATGTATTCCTTGTGAAATTTGCGCTTTTTTTTCTCGGCACTGAAACCAGAAGGGCTTTTGACGCCATTATTGCACCAATGTTCGCCTACATGTGCCAGTAAAACGAATTTATATGCAGATAAACGCCCGTAAAATGAATTTATATGCAGATATGCACCCTGGATAGAGATAGTTGCAGAAAAGAGCGGGTGAAAAACCTTTACAGCTCTGTCAAGGAATCTTAGTTGTTAGATGAGATGGAAAGCTGTAGGTCTAGAGTCGATTGCAATGATGTACACCTCATTGCAAGAAGCTGCCATTTGTTTATCTTATCCTGGTTAATGAAAGTACTGTTTAGTAATACTTTTAGGAAATAAACAGCTCAAATCGAAAACTGACGCATATTTCATGACCGTGCCAATCGTTTGTCCACACTTACAGTGTACTTCGGCAAGGATTTGAGTGACTTCGTCAACAAACTTCACCTAAAACCTGATTGATAGATGAATCACTAACTTGGATAGTAACAATTCTTCTGGAGCTATACTAAATCATTTCTCGGTGACCTTGTTCGACATCTCCCTTGTTTTGATATGCATTCGGCTCCAAATAGTGGGATCGACGCAAACATAACTAGAGCCATTGATCGTGCGTACGTCAGTACTATTACAGATATCGGTGCTGTCGATTTTGCAGCGAATTGTGAACCTAAAGAAGTGAGAATGGAATCAATAAATGAATTTCGGGATGCAGGGGTCCTTCGCCTCGACGATCTTTGTGAACCAAAGAGAGAGAGTGCATGGTTTCCAGGGGGAAGATTATCGAAGAAAAGATCGAATGGGAGCCGAGAGAGAGAGCGAGTGCAATGGTCCCAGGAAGATTTATCGAAGAAAAGATCCGATGGAGCATAAACAATTCAGCCAGAAGAAGCGGTGACCCGTGCGCTCCTAAGACTTACCATCACTTCATGCGACGTCCGTTTGGGATGTTCCCATATGATTCCCTTAATTTTCCCAGTTATTCCGTTTTCAACATTTTCACAGTCCCCCACTGCTTGCAGTGCAATTTGGGTTAGTAGCTTTACAAAGATAAAAGTGACTGCTTGAACAGATCGATTTCCGATCTATTTTGGCGTTTTTCGTTGTTTCATGAGGTTTCGTTTGAAACACAAAAAAACTCCATACTAACACGCCTGATGACAAATGGCCCACACTCGACCCGGAGCGATATCACTAAATAAAGAAGTGTCATCAGGTTAGAGTACAGTCCAACTCCGTCTAAGATGGGTCCAGATTTAGAAGAAAAAAACATGCCTAAATCCCAAGAACCGCAGGCTTTCTCGGAAGTGCAGAAGAAAAATAAAATCGAAAAAAGTCAAAGGTTTCTGACGTGTGCCGCGACAAAGTACATTTGAAGACCGAGTAGAATCCTTCGGAAACTCTATGAATGATCAATCAAAGAAGACCCACCAGGATTTCGGGAGATTCTAAAGAACTGGAGCAAAGTTAATCAAAATCAATAGGTATTCCTAGATCAGCAATTTATCTGTGTGGATTAGCGCATTGGGACGTGGGAGCAAAAACTGAAAAAAAACGGTATCCAATGAAGAGCTTCGAAGAAAACTTATCAGCCGAACCTCCAATAATTACTAGATTCACCAGCTGGGATTGTACTGGCTTACAGAGTCAATGCGATAATCTGATGCCGGACCCAACTACGCGTCGGAAGAAGACCATCAGCGGAATCCTTCGATGAATGGAGCGGATCATCCGATGCGGTCTCTATTGAAGTTGGAGAACTACCACCTTCGTGAAATCTGTTTCGTTAAATAAAAGTTTGATCGTAAAAAAAATTGTTAAAATAGCTGCTCTCCGAAAAAAGGGAAGAAACTCTGAAGAATATCACGTGGACAAGGCAGTCAGTCTATGTAATTCATTTGAGTGTAGTGACCAAGTTCATGAGCATTCATACTAAAGAACTGTCTGCGATTACTTGTTAGTAAGTAGTTTGAGTTTCTATAGTTTGAATTCTGTTTCGACTTTTCCTGTTCGAACTGGCATACGAATGTGGTTCGCTAGGATAGAAAGCGTATTTTTCACTGCGGGAACTCTAGGTCCATTCATGACCAGGGTGAACCTGAGGTTTCTGCAGCGGAAAACGTTTCGAGCTGCGAAACGCGAAAGTCGCATTTCTGTCTAGCGAAGCACACCCGTGACTACAGTTATACTTTGCCTCCGAGAACAAGGTGCACGTCGAGTGCAGACCACACACCACAAGTGACGACGGCCTCCAAGTAAATCTGGTTACTAGTGGTTCATAGTGATAGCTGATAGTTGGTAAATGATAGTTGTAATTAGTGACAACTGATAGAATACAACTGCAACAGGCTAATCATTTCATTGGCAGAAAACATTTACATTTTGTGAAGGCCGTCGTCACTTGTGGTGTATGGTCTGCACTCGACGGTCACCTGATTTTCAGATATAGAGGTTGTCTTATCCTCATATTTAAGCTCTGTATCGGGAGTAGATCTCTTTGCAAAAAGCAACTCAAATGTGCGACGTTTCGGGGGCAGCTGAATGAACTCTTTCAGAGTAGTAGAAGAGAAGAAAGCATTCGACAGGAAGAGAAAAAGATTTGAAGGGTCACTCTACAACAATGAACTAAAAATCCTATCCATTTTGGATGAATATCGGATTTCGGATCAAGCCAAAGAAATAATGTGGTGGTACCATAAAAGTGCTTACATTTTGTCCTTCAAAGCCTCTCGTTCTTTCATCCGTAGCTCTACAAAAACCCGACGTTCCTTCGCTTGTCTTTCCATCACATCCAGTACCTAAGCATTCATCACATAATCCAACCAACTATCAGGTTGTTCAGAAAATTCCTGCGGTTTGCTATGTTAACTTTGATAAAAAAAAACGGCTCAAGCAAAACCTTTTCAAGTGGAAAAGTACTACTGCGTCGATTCCCTTTTTCCAAAAGAATTGATTTATTTCTACAGGCTACCTAGTCATGGAGTACTACGGGGCATGGGCCGTCAAATCCGGCTTCAGCATTAGAGTGATTGTTGAATTGAAGTATATCTCTTCAAGAGATGCAAACCACAACAAGAGGATTAATCAATCCTCTTAACAGCGGTGAGGAAGGAAATAACTTTAGTATGGCAGAATAAGTTTGTAAATAATGGCAAGGGACAAGGAACCTGTATTTTAAGGGGCAGGTGATCATATACCGTGTTTCACGACTGGAAACTTCATCTAATCCTACATTCCCCAATGCTAGAACCCTGAATTCTAGCCACGGCCGACGTCGCATCGCGGGCTGCGGCGGCTGGCGCGGCGACCTAGCCACCTCCACGATTGAATCGTCACGCATTCGATAAGAAGCCCTGGATCTTGTAACTACTGGGGCCTAGTGCGAGGCAGCACTAATTAGGTGCTAAAATTTCCAGTCGTACCCCCTGATAACCCTCCTAACACGATCGCGACAATGTCACCCAATGCCGGATGACACCACGAAGGAGTCCTCGCTCGTATTTCTAATTTCTAAACATATTAAACAGGAATACATTGACTATACATGCTGGCCATGTGCACAAGTTCTCCAGTGAATGTTTCACCGTAGCGATGCTTGACAGTAGCCTTCAGAGGTTGAAACTATCATTTTCGGTGAATAGAGCCGATTTAATTTGTAGTTAGCTAGCTGGCTACTGGCTCAACCTCAACCTCATGTCTGGATTGTCTCGCCAAAGAGCGGAAAACTATTGAGAATTATACGTAATTTCTCTATGGCTGAACTAGAAGGTTTTTGTTTGATTTGAGGAAAATTCAGCGAGCAATTGAAATTCGGACGGATTCCTTACTTAATTACAAATCCGCTGGAATATCCGTTTTAGAAGTGCATTTCAGCATTGGGATGAATTTTTAGGAAGGACGGGAAATTCCTTGGTCGCCATCGTGTTAACATGGCCCCATCGTGCAACTGCACACTTCTCAAAATATCTGATCAGAGCATCCTTCCCTCCCCATCCCGTTATCACTGCGTTG